CCTGCCAGGCATGGGCGTGATGTGGTGTGAGCTAAAGCCCAGGTGAGGACACACTCAGGGCCTTGGCACAACCTGATGTAGTCCCAGATGTCTGCTCGGCTTTCTTGCAGGCTTCTCAAATCCAATGAAGGTAGTAGACGGCCTTCTCGTGATCTGAATGAGCATTGGTTTAGGCTAACAAGGTAACCTTGATTACTTAGATTTAGCTAAATTCCTCTCACCTCCAGCTGTAAGAGCAGTGGTAGGAAAATAATATAAAAGTTGTCAGTCGTATAGATCTGATTAGTGTTTGCTGATCCCTGCAAAGTCAAAAGGTGAGTCCTACTGGAATGTGATCAGAGCAAAATGCGGGTTTGCCTACTTCTGACTTGCTTACTTGTATACAGTATTTATGAAGCCTCCTATGTGATTTCATTTTAAATTATTTTATTCATGAATAAGCAAACAACTCCTCACAGCAAAGAAAGTATTCCAGGTTCTGTTAGGAGCATTCTTGACTTCTAAAAATCCATGGTTCAGACACGTTGTGCTGCGTTTCCAATGCATTCTCAGGCTACATGTATGCCTAACATTCTTGTTGATTCCTAGGTAGTTGTACAAGGTCACACAGATTGAGACTGTTCAGTGCAAGGAGACTTCCAGACATTCAGAAGAACTTAAGTCTGTGCTGCTTTTGCTTAGCAGAGAGTGTGCTAACGTATCAGCCTGCTGCTCCTTTCCTTGCTAAATTATTTCATCTGCTTATTTACTTTCTGGGAGTGAACAGTAATATTCACTCAAGGAGCTTTTCCTGTCCTGAGGACATGACAGCGCACTGGGTGATAGTGCTATCTCAGCAGGATTTTCACTCTAAGAAGCTTTTGTGCTCACACATTCAGCAGCTGAACTGGCACACCTCTGCGTTTCCAAGCTGTGAGAATATTTTTAAAAAGTTAAATTACGTTTGGTATATTTTCTCCAAGAAAAGTAATTCTGCCCATTGTAATGACTCAGACTTAAGGTTGCTGATGTGTTGAATCCTTTAGTTTACAGTATGCAATATGTCAACAAAACAGAAATAAAGCAAAAACATAACAAGCAGAAGGTAGCTCCGGAACCCTCATCCAGTTTCCACTGGTTTCTCAGGGAGCTGGATTATTTATGGGCTTTCTAGTTGTGATCTCCGCATTGCTTCTCACCTGCCCCTTTACTACAAAAAGGAATCTCGTGGATTCCCATCTCTTCTTGCCATGATCTTAAGACATGCTGACTGAAAGCAGATGTACTACAGCAAGGATGTCAAGGAGCAATCAAGCTCAGTAAACCAGAGCTTGACTGTTCTCCTGTAGATTGGTTTAAATTGCTATTTGCATACACATTAAACTCTGAGATAGCTCCTTCAGATAGATCTTTTGGGATCACTGCAAAATGGTGACTTTAGAAAGCATCTCTTTCTACCTTCATAGTGCCTAGTATAAAGGAATTGTTGAAGAACTACTACCACACATAGTGGAGATAAGTTTTATTATTGTACAGGAAAGTCACGGACATAAATTGGACAATGATGAGAGTACATTCTTGCTACCGTGTTTGTTTTGTTTTATAAGCAGGTAAGGGAATACTGTCTTATATATGGTGTTGTTGAAACACTATGTTTATGTCTAAACTAGAAATATATAATAATTTAGATTGACAGGGACTTCTGAAGGTTATCTGCTTAAAGCAGGGCTTACTTCAAAGCTTGATCAGGTTGCTTTGGGGTCTAGTTCTGACAAGCTTTAAATACCTTCAAGGTATGTGCCAATGGTTGACAGCCCCTCACTGTGAAAATTATTTTTCAATATATCTGGTTGTAGTTGTCATTGCTGTGTCTTGTCACTATTGATCTTAGTCCCTTTGCTAGTCTCTGAGAAGACCCTGGTTCTGCCTTCCCTGTCTCCAGGTACATTATGTGCTCCAGCTTCCTAGCATGTCAGTCTTTATTTTATTTTATTTTTTGTACTGGGGGACACAAAACTGGAGGCAGTACTCCAGCTGAGGTCTCACAAGTGCTTAATAAAAGGGAATTCTCAGTTCCCTTGACCTGCTGCCTGTGCTGCTGCTAAATGTGCAGTGAGCTGTCCTTGCCCCAAGGGTGCACTGCGGATTCATGTTCATCTGCTGCTCGCTCCCTCTTCCTTTGTAAGGAAGAATAACCTAAGAGTGACCAGACTCATTATGCTTATAATGGGTCTGTCCATTGTCAGGATGGCTGTCATTTCTGCAGAACTCATTCCCAGAGAGAGAAATCTGACTATATATTATATACAGAAGAGAAGAGAAAGGTTGAAATAAAATAGTGCCTTTCATCCAATGTACACAATGCTTCTGAATTTGCACACTCAAATAATGTATAAACAGAAGTGACCACTTATTGTGATTAGGGAAGTGTTTAAAAAATTGAAACTGCTTGTGTGAGCTATCCATCATCCTTATTTCCACTATGCTATAAAGCTATTTTATGATATCTAGTAATTAAAACAAACAAACAAACAAAAACCTTTATACTTTTCCCATCATGCAGGTACTTTTACAACAGGTGATTAACAGCTAACTAGGATGCTGTTAAGTTGCCTACAGCTGACTTTCTTTACTACAAGTTTTCATTAAAGGCGGGTGGTGGTTAAACTCCCAGGAAGGTGTTTGTTTTCAGGCCCCACTACCTTTTTTCCTACTCTGTGGGTTATATCTTACCAGATGTGATATTTTAAGATAGAAGAACGTTTAACTAGCAATATTCCTGTAGTTAAACAAAAGTGAAGTTATAGCCAGGCATATTCTGTACTCCCACAGAGTCTATATTTTTCATTAGGTTTATTCATAATTTTACCACTGACAGAGAAATAACTTTAAACATTCCTCATTGTAGGAGATAAATGGTCTAATTCTGGCTTCCTAAGCAGACAGGCTTTGTTTATTGAGTTCTAACTGCATTATGTAACTCGTCTTATCACACATTTAGGAACTCAAAGGCAGGTTTCTAGCCTGCAGGTTTCTGGTAACATCCTATTTTCTCTTGTGTTTTTTCAGCCCACAATTTCCCACTTTGTGATGCTATTAACTCTCTGTCAATAAGTTTAGCCGGTATCTTCGGATAGCAACAAAACCTAACTTTTGTGATGGATCATGTTTTCAGTGTATGAAACCTCCATGTTGTATAACCAATTGATTATTAAAATCTTATTTCCCCAGGGTTGGTATGCTAAAAACTTATCCAGTGACAACAGAGGGCAATTAATATTTGGGGCTTTCCTTGCAAAATTTTAAATAAGTGTATCAAAGCCAAGAGCCACGGAAATTCAAGTTCTGTATTTTCAGAGAAGATTTGAAGGTTTATATGAGCTCTTACAGCAAAGCGCACTTTTATGACTTGAATTTGAGGCAAAAAGTTTTGAATTCTTTGAATTTTGCTCTAATCAATTGTACACATACATCTCTGCTGAGAAAGTCTTTAATTTCATTTTCTGAGACCTGGCAGAAATGTCTTTTTTATTTTATTACCACAATCTCTTTATATGGGGGAATTTCTGCTGTAACCTGTAGGTAGATGACATGTCCCGTAACCTTCTGTGTCTTCCCACTGCCTGAAGTGGATGTTTTTGGTCTGCTTCTGCAGCTCAGGCTTCATTTTAAAACCCCTGCAATACCTGCTAAATATCTTTATGCAACTAAAATCAGGTTTTTAACTTTAAGTCAATCAAATCAGTTAAAAGAAAAAGCAAGTGGTGCTTTTTCATTTTATTGCTAGTGTAATAAAAAAGAGAAAAGGCTAAAGCAGGGTTGCCAAAGCCACGAAGCTTGCTTCATTCTTTGTGCAGACTGAGAGAGACTTGTCAAAGATGTTTTGACTGATGGAGAATGCAGTCCTCATCACCAGGCTGCCAGGCCTCTTCTGGAACTCCTGAAATTCAAGGGCCTATGGAAAATACTGAATTTTCCCTTGATTTAGTAAAGTGTTGGAAAGTAAATAAAATGTGGTTTGCTATATAAATTGTAGGGTTTGACCAGGGTCTGATTTGTTTGACAGCAAGGTGTTTTGTGTATCCCTGGCCACCACTGTGTTTCAAGGAGGATGTTAAAATGGACAGGAGCATCAGGAAGGGATGTTTAATGTCACAATTGATAAAGCTAAGTATTCATATAAAAACGTGGTTACAGTCATTGGTAGTTGTGTCAATTACTCATTGGAAATGTGGCCCTATTACACTTTTGATAGACTAAAACTGGGTTTTGTGTTATTTCTGTTATGTGCAAGTTTTTTGTCATGTAATTTGGATTCACAAATTTAAGCATATGGGCTTTCTGATTTATTTATGTTGATGATGGTGTGTGATTGGTTAACTTCTTTATCTTACTTTTTTTTATTCTTTCACTTCATGCCTGGAATTCTGACAAAAATTTAAATAGTGAATAATGAATTAAGCAAGATGTTTGGCTGTACCAAATGTTGCAGCATCTTTTGGGACTCAGAAATATTATACACACATACTGAAATCAGACTTTGGTTAGAAACTTGTGTGGGTAGCAGAACACACCTATCTGAAATGCAAAGGCCAAAGACTGAAATAGAGGTGAAACATTTTCCAGAATAAAAGAGAGATGTATCTATACCACTGCCTGACTACTGCAAAAGTTAATAAACTTCTTGGGTTTATTTCATGTTTTATAACTTACAGGTTTTTGTCCTAGAAAAGATAATGGAACCTCTTGATTCAATAATAATACCTTATTTGTAATACACGTGTTAAAGCAGGCTAGGTTGCCTCTTGCAAACATAACGAATGCAGTGCTTTCAGCATAACAAAGGGTGTAAAAATAATTTATAATGTAAGTAATAGATATGAAACATAAGAAAATATAATAAAACCACAAACTAGGAATCCGTCTTGCTACAATCTGCTTAAGCTGATGGGAATTTTTCAATTAAGCTCACTGTGAAGAGGTTTGGATCATGGATAAATTGCTCTCTGCTCTCATTCTAGCACCACATCTGGATTCCTTCCACTTTTGGATTGGATGAGGTCTCTGACTTGGGAATTCAGCAGCAGCCACTTTATTTTTCTTCTAAACTTTATTGAATATGCTGTCAATTTGTTTGCAGGTAGGTTATATATTACATGCTGAGTTTAGAGTACACCCCTGTTTGCAGTGGGATCTATCCATACCAAAGTGTAGATGTGTTATACTATGCTCTACCTCCATCTAGAACTTAGCTACAGTAGAGTTATGTGGTGTTTTCATTTGTCACCTTTCATCCTGATTATGTGTGTGTGGTTGCGGGTGCATGTGGTGGAATTCACCTGTATAGTATCCACTTATGATTAATTGCTGCTTTGAATTGTGGCATCCAGATGTGGGATTAAGATATTACTACTGTTCCTAGCAGATGAAATAAATGTTCTTTCTATGGTAGTGCACTGCGGGTGATAGCAAGTTCTTCCTGGTACAGAAGGCTCACAAAATATTCTGTGCATGTATATGATATAGGAGATTGCAGAACTGTGGAGAAACCTTGCTGCGGGTTGTTTTGAGAGCAGCCCCCTCCAGTTCATATCAGAAATGCAGCACTCCTACATGGTGTCCTCTCCCTACAGCAGCAGAAGGAAGCAGGTGGGTAAGGACCTTGCACTATGGACCAAAATTGGGCGTCAGGAGCTGTGTATCCAACTTAATCACTTTTTGTCACTGCAGCTCTCCAACAGGAAATAGGGAGTAGTATTTTGCTAAATGGGAGGAACCGTGAGAGAGAGAAATCCATGAATGGCTGAGAAGCTGCCTGATGCTGTGGTAAGGACGACCAGGTGCTTAGTGATGTCAGATGCTAACATGCAGCTGAACAGACAGCAGATCTGATCTATCATTAGGTCATTTATTTATTGAAATAGGAGAAATTTCAATCTGTGATATTACCTCTGCAGTTTATCCAGAGCTGTCTGCATTGCTTTGTGAGGTAGTTTGTGTGTGTGGAACACCCCCAAGGAAGATCCGTAGCTTCCTTCGCGTTCTAGCTAGTACTGAGCACACTCTGGCACATCATTAATGGCCTTCCTTCTCTACATCCTAGCAATTAAAATCTCTTTAGTTATATGAGGCCTCTTGAGAAATCTTATCTAAAAATTTAGCAATGAACATTAAAAATGTGTTACCTAGGCAGCTGAAAGATTTTTTATTTTTTGATCAATCTAAGTGAGCAGTTAGAGATCTGTCACAAATTGTAAATAATCTTTTGTTGTCATATGTGATACTTCTAATATTTCAGATTACTAACAAATTATCACTAATTAAGCAGTGAACAGAGCATCTGGATGCTTATTTGTGTGCCTGGACATGCCAAAAGATGGGGCTGATGTGTATTTCTTGTGTTGGCTTTCATTTCTATTTTGTCTCTAATATGACAATTAACATATCTAAAAAGCGCTGGTCCCAGGAGTGAGGGCACCTCCGACTTAGAGTTTTTGCTCTGTGATAGTGATTATGAAAATTCTTCTACTGCTGTGTTTCTTTTTTCATCTTTTACTGGACCTTTCCTTTTCAGGTGTGGGTAAAGTATCATGAAGTATATGTGTGTTGTTTTTTTTTCAAGGTCCAGCATTATCTTCTTACTTGTAGGCATCCATGGTAACCCACGATAATGCCATTTAGAAATGCTACTGATTCCTGTGTACAATAAATATGACATGTAGAAGAGCTGATCTGAATAATTTGAAGGGTCTTGTGTGTAGCTACATTGATATTTATAATTGTAACTAAAAGAGCTTCCTCGTTGTGTGTTTTATAGGAGCAAATGTTATTAAGATTAGTGGGAAACAGCCAGACCACAAGGCTTATAAGCCACTTTACTTCATCCACAAGATAATACATGAAAAACACCATCACCTCTAAGGTAAATGCTATTACTCAGTGTCCTTAACTGTATTAAGAACATAAAGAGTGTGTTCATTAAAACTTAATTGCTTTTTATTGCAAGACTCGTCCTGAGACAGATTTGTAGTATGCTCCTGCAAGTAACGGGGATTACTCAACACCAAGCCTTCTGTCTGATTCTTGGGTTAGACTGTTAGACCTGAAAGAAGTTTTAGCCATAGAGATGATAGGGCTAAAGAGACTTTGTATGTTAGGTTTAGAAATTCCTTGTTTATTCTTTCATACTTGCAATATATATTTTTAGCATTCACACTTTGTGTTCTGCAAGTTACACAGCAGTGTCTTTTGTGTAATGTTCAAGGGCAGCAGTTTAGTGTACACACTCTCCCAGCACCTAATTCCTGATGTGTAATTTTGGAGATTATAAGAAAGGGAATATACCAATTATAGCAGGTGCGATTGACCAGAGTGTAGACTGGCAAACACACAGTACATAACAAAGATTAAAAAATTCTTTAAAAGGCACTGCCAAAGTGACACTGCGTTGGCAGCATTACTACACAACCTAAGAGCTTTATTTCATGGTAAGAAGTTTTTGTCCTGTCTTTCTGGCCTTGTGATAAACTCAGAGAAACCTAAGGAACAAACATTCCTGGAGCTATAAAAGCATCTGTATCATCTCTGACCTAAGAGTCCACCAGCTTTCTGGAGATGTTGATATAAATGCATGGACCAAGCCACTTGTCAAGCTTATGAAATCATAAGTCAACCTCAGTAATACGTTTCCTCAGTACTATCCTTATATATGTTCTGAAAACTCATTATTAATATTGTGGGTCAGCAAAAAGAGCTTCTGCTCTTGTACATGATGAATTCTACAAGGAAGGAGGAAAGATGTGATGGACAAGTAGGTCAAAAGTGCTCAGTGGTAGTTATTAGAACAAATTGTTGTTTGTGGGATGGGAATGTACACATAGGAAAAAATGTGTAAGAGCAGCATATACCACTAGTAGCTTGAGACGAAGATGTTAAAAATAAAGTGGCAATTTGAAAGGGCACGTCTGCTTTCTGCTGAAGCTACAACCAAAGTTCTGTCAGAAAGCCATTAAGGGCTGCGTCTGAACCTGGCACAGTGATTCTGCACTATAGAGTGTAGCTGTCTAACAGCATATTTGTCTAGGAGCCTACATATATACTTGTCACTGGCTGCAGCAGTATTGCTGAGAGAGTATCTTGTTTTCCTGTAGCAATGTGCTGTTAATATTCTCTTACATGTTTACTAGATATACTCCTGTAATGGTCCCCTTCCCCATAAGGACCAGAGCCTGCTGAAGTTCAGAGTAGACCCCTTCCAGTGAAGGACCTGGCCCCTGCCTCTTACATTCTTCACATTACCCAGGACTGGGTCTGACTTCATGCCCCATGGCAAGCTTGCGTCCTTTGTGCCAACTTGTTTACTGGTAATGACCATACCTGAGATCATAAAAAAGGTTTCCTGACATTCGTATGGAAGGTATTAGTTTGATAGCACAAACACTTGCAGTCGTTTATATTTTATTTCTAGAATTTTATGGTTCATCTTTTCAGCTGTTTTTTTCTTCCTTGCAGATTTCAAATTAAGAGAGACCCCAATTAAGACTACAGGTTTTGAGATTGTTTTTTCTTTACTTTTTTTTTTTTCTTTTTAGAGGCCTAACCCAGTCCTATATATGCAGTAAAAAACTTGATCTCTTTCCAAGGAGCAGGTCTCTATATTAAAAAAAGTAAAAGTTTGCGCTTGCTTAGCTCCTTTGATACTAACTTTGCAGTACTTTAGAGGTACCAGTTAATTAAGTTCTGTGGAATTGCTGTTACAGCATAGACAAGGATGGGTAAAATGATAAATAGAGGGGAAGCATGATTTCCCTAAATTCATAATAGGATGAAGTCAGTGCTGCGATGTTTTGTTTAGCCCCTTTATAGAGGTTTATGCAATGTAAAATTCTCTTGTTCAGTGCTCCATTTTTCTAGCACGTATAAGACTGCATTGCTATGCCCATTATAAAGGTGATCATTGCCTTTGTGAGAGACCTAGTAATAACCACAATATTTTCATTACTTACCTTTAATCGGTCCCTTTGACTTTCTAAGTTTAGCTTCATATTTGCCCTATTCTTCCAGTGCTATAAATATCCTTACTGACAAACTGCTCTGTTCTTCTAAAGCACATCTAGATCTGTTTTTTGGCATTATCAATGTGACCCATATCTCATATCCTCCTTACAAAATTTCAGCGCTATAGTTGCTTATAAGGAATGATTAAAGCTAAAGCTCATCATCGTTTGTCTGTGGTGCAAAAGTTCCATACGAAAATATGGAGGGTATTGCATGCGTACAGATGAAATCATACATTTACAAATTTTCAATGTGTAAGATGACTTAAAAAAATTTGCTGACTTCTGAGTCCTTAGAATAATGCATCATTTCTCAGTATCATGAATTTAGCTGAAGGAAAATACAATGAAGGTAAGGATACACTGACTTTTTTCCTCAGAGTTCTTCTTTAAGGTATTAATTTAAAATGATACCTCAGCAATGTGAAAAACAAAACATTTGTACCAAACAGAAAACTGACAAAAAAAAAAGTTTACTTCTATTTTATGAAACAGGCTTCAGTAGAACAGTAATTTTCAGATTAATGTCTGTGATCTTGATCTATTCTTGACCTATTAATAAAATGCAAAAATACTCCCACATTGTTTGGGTGTGCTAAAAATACTGTGTCATTTTCACTAAAAATTAAAATCATATACATGTTTTAGGTCAGTGAATTAAGGTTAATCTGTGCTTTGCATTGGGTGTATATCTATATATTTTTTAAGGTGTCAGAAGGGAAAGGTTCATATTCACTGAGTGATCAGATATGAACCACAATTACCATCTCCATTCTCATTGCTAGGTTTACAATTCATGTTCAATTTAAACTACAGTTTGCTTTAAAACATTTTAAAAATCTTATTTTGTTATATCCTTTAAGATGTCACTTAAAAAAACTGCCTGCCTGATTTTCCGCGTTAGACATTGTATGCATCATTTTAATCTCCAAAATGGGAATGGATTTGAAGATAATATTGTCAGCAGTTATAGGCTTGTGCTAGGACAAGAACATACCCTGGAACTTCCCAGTCAGAGTTCAATTTTGGATTCAATTTCCATTTTAGAAACTAGAATTAATCCATTCTACTATCTTAAAATTCAGGCTGATCAGAAGAAGAAAAAAAAAAAAGTGAATAATCAGAAAACAAAAGTAGCCATTTGTAGCAGTTCCTGAAACTAGCTTACCTACCAAGTTAATCCTGATCTTTGAGATGTATTTGTTCCCAACGTATTTCTAATCCTTTAGAAAAGGAAAATCAGGAAAATGTGGAGGTAGTTTCAAAGTCTGCTTGCTTAGAAGCTCTATAACAAGCAGGACTGACACTGAACTAATTTAGGTGGTCTTGAAGGTTTTAGTAAAACTGAATGCGATGAACAGTGTTTGGCTGAGCGTGTTACACATTTTACTTTTCAAATTCCAGGCAGGCTTTCTGAAGCCAAATCCTTCAGAAACCAGTAATATCACTGCAGCTAATGAATGAGGAGAATAAGTGAACTGTGCAGGCAGCAGATTTAACTGCTACCGGCACATACGTAATAGAAGTTTGTTTATATAGTAAGTAAAACATCAGCATAATACAGTTTTAAACAACAGTGAAATAATTGACCTTTTAAAAAAAAATGTATCTGGTTTGTTTGGATATGTAAAACAAAGTTTTGCTCCAGTGGAATTGGATGCAAAATTGCTAAAAAAATATATTTGAATAAATATCCTTATATTAGATGTATGCAATTTGGTTAATCTAACCACATGTCTCATTAATAAAAGCTGGAATTTTCAGTCTGATTATTGTCAAATATCTGGTAATTCCAGGGTCAATCTTGTCTATAAACCAGAATGGAAAAGTAATCTTGGGATATTTCAAGTTGCATATTTGATTTATACTGGATCTAAAACTGAACGAGTTTATATTTTTTAATTAAATGAAAGTAATTTCAGTCCTTTCAGACCACCATGACTGAATTTTAAGCTTGCTTTGGGACAGAATTATTTTCCTTTTTCTCTTCATAGCAGCGTTCACTTCAGAGATACTTTTCTTCAGCCTAAAAGGTACAGTCATGATAAAAATTTCTGTGATCTTTTTGAAGATTATTCATAACGCATGTGTTCCAGAACTCTTAAGCATTTAAATAACTAAATAATTAATAACAGTCTTTTACCCCCTACAGGACATGCCAAAAAATCCCAAGTACTATTTTGCATTAATCTTTCCTGATTAAACAAGGGCAGATAGTCTTGTGATTAATTCATATTGAACAAATCAGCTGACTGTATATTTAAAAGCAGAGATCACAGAGATACGTAGGAATACAACTACTTTTTACTTCCTAAATACGGCTTCCTGTTATTTGCTAAGCTATATGCTCTTTTTCTTTTTTATTTCTTTGTAACTTTTAGCAGCACTCTGGCCACATCAGTGACAAAACAGACATCAGGCAACTAGCAGGTATCCATTAGAGTCACATCTGGTAGGTTTGACTGACATTCAGTAGAGCTGATTAACCACAGAATAACATGCCAGAAATGTAACAAGAGAAGTCACTTCTGCCTGATACCAATCAATCACTCACTCTCTGCAAGTATAAATGCACATTCACAGTGGAATGAGTTTGACCCACACTGTTATCAGAATAATAGTGAGAAACTACTACCAGACTTTTAGATGGGAAAAATAAAGTACAAGCCAAATGCCAGAAAGAGAATTCACAGATGGGAATACATGTTGTTAAATGGCACCATGGCATATGACCGCAACAATCAGTCAGTTCTCCATATTGTAGAAGATGTGTTCAATATGATGATTGCCAGTACTTGAAATACGGAGCTGAAGTATGGAAAAGAATATAGTAAAATCCCAATGCAGTATTTTGACAGCACAGTGCTTTAAAGATCACTTTTTCCATCAACGCAAGAGATAAAATAATCTGATGCTTAATGCAAAAAGCAAGGGTCTTGGAAAGAAAGCACTGGTTTTTGGCCCAGATAAAGTAAGGCGGTTAAGCTTGTTGTAGAGTTTTCTACTAACATTTTTGCTGACTAAGAAAATATTTGAGTTCCATTACATGAAACATGCTTATGTGTTCTGAATCAGTGTCTTTATCCTCATGATTTCAGTATTTCAGCTCTCAAACTATATGAATGTAATGCAGGTCTGATTCCACCTTGCTACCCAGACACACATGAGGGAATAGAGATGCAACTTGAGGCAGCACTCAGTCTGGTTGTAGTTTCTTTGTCTTCAGCATATTGACGGGTCCTAGACACTGTGGTGTGATATTGGGATAATCTGAATATGTCATATGGAGTTGCAAGTACATGGGCAGTTTCACAGCCGTCTTACAAGATGTAACAGTAAATCTAAAGTCATCTTCTGTCTCTAGGTGATGTAGTCTCTTCCATACCAACTCCAGTGCAGGCCACGGCAGGACAGAGTCCAGATTCTGAGAACCATCTGAACAGCATTTTTAAGTGAGAACCTGCAAAGAAAATCACACCCTTGAGCAGCTTCTGGATTCCTTAGAATCATCATCTCTGCTATCCTCAACTGTGTGTTGTTTTTTGTTTGTTTGTTTGTTTTTTAGACTTCTGTATACTAGAAAGATTTCCTGGTTTTTAGTTTTAGTGACAGTTATGTACCCCAGCTGCATTTTAACACCATACAGTAGTTTTGTATATAACTTTATATTGTACAGTTACTCTTACTAACTTTTCTATTGTAGGCTGTTAAATCTATTGCAGAAAAAAAAGTATGCCACAGCCATCACGTCTGGCTATATATTTGTTATTCCAGTGTAAATTGGGACCAACTCAAAGCAAGGACCTAAATTCCTATTATTTCAATAGGAATAATAATTGAGAACAGAACAGGTTTTATATTCAAAAGAATCTACAAAAGAAAATATCCATTACATATAATTATTTCCAGAAACAAAAAATTGATTTAGTATGTAAGTTTAGAGCTTGCATAGTATTTCACAAGAAATGACTGTGCAATAATCTTTTTTTAAAGAAGATAGCTTGCTGAAAGTAAGCCATATGCATAATGCCCCCTAATAAGAGATGAATCTGATTGAAAATAACTGTGCAGATAATCTCATTCCATTTTTAAAAGCACTAAGCTCTGTGTGATTGGCACAATTGCATTAATAATTTATAGCCATTGGGAATTGTTGGTTTCTGCCTTTTTTGGGATTCTGAATCACAAATGATTGCTCATTTTAACAATATTGAAAAAGATTGGAGGAGTAAAGCTGAAGGGAGGAAATGTGCTGACAGAATGTGCAGTAATTGTGTTGGCCAGCCTGGCTGCTGGAGCTGGCTATCAAGTGTGTTTTTTCTACTCAACTAGTGAGAATACTTACACGAAGGAAACATCATCTCTGAAAACAGTTCCCAGTGACTGCTATTGTTTGAGAATGCTGAAAACTCCCAGTTTCATTTATCATATAGATGTGGTATAAAATGAATTCCAAAATGTGAAACTAGGCTTTGTTTGGTTTGTTGCAATGTCAAAAAGCTTTAACGCTTAAGCTGTCACTGCTGTTCCTGACACAGCAAAGTAGGACAATCAAAAATAATGCATGAAAGGAGGCTCTCTGTGCTTGACTTCCTTGTTCTAAGCATGCCATGGGATATATTTGTTTATTGAAATTGTTTCTTTAGGGATCAAGTGCTTTGGAGAAGAATCAAAATTTTAATGTACGAGCAATTACTTTTCTTACTCTAAGACATATGCTTAATGTACTTTTGCAATTTTTAAGGTCTGTATAGTTCCTGTATTATATACCTCTTAGGTATTTTTTCTGAGGCTAAAATACAAAACATATATTGGAAAATTCATCTTTCCATGCATACACACACAAAACAAAGATACACAGACTTTGAGAGCAACAGTTGGTAGCTTCCAAGCTATATAAACAAATTCAATCAGTGTTCATAAACCTTTACAAACACATAGCATTGTCAGCACAAGAATCAATTTGAATTGCTCAGAGCTGTCACACATCTCCATTTGTTCAACAAAACTGTATGAGTAGTATTGAGTGTGCCTATTCCAAGCTACAGTTTTTGAAAGGCTTACTCTGAGTCCATTCGCTAACAATGATATTGTCTTAGTAAGAAGTTGTGTTTAATATATTTGGTTGTAATTTTCAAGGAAAGAAACCACACCATTTTCTTCCAAGTTCTGACACAGTGGGAATGCTGTCAGGAAAGATCTACGTTAACCATATCACCAGAAATAAGATTTAGATAGTAGAGTCCCTCACAAACCACCATATATGATTTTCATCTTGCTTGTATCCACTTTTTTATGTCAGTTTTCCAGCTTTCAATTGATGTGGACTAACTGATTTTTGGGACAGTTTTTCCCAGCAATACAAAACCATGGGTATAGTAGCCTCAACTCTATTTTCAATGAATATAACATTAACATTGAAAGGTACACATTAAAGCTGTCTTATCCTCCAGTTCCCTCAGGCCTGCTGCAGTTCCTCCCAGTGCCATCGGCTTTTCATAGTTGCCACTTACACATTTCCCAGAGGGTCTGAGAGTGCCCAGGGGTGCCCAGGCTGGAGTGGCTTGAGAGGCAAGTCCATCATTGGTAGCATCTGGCTTCTGGTCACAGGGTTAACCCTCATTGTGAATCTTCTCAGCTCAACAGAATTGAGAACAACCCTTTTCATTGGATTTTTGATTTGATGCCTTTTAGGACATGCTAGGGGACACTTGACATTTTTGCAGCAAAAATGTTGCCCACATGACTTCAAAGCTCCAGCAAATCAAGAGGGTGGTACAATTTACATGACTTCGGGGTTGCAAAACCCTGATGGGATCCTTTCAGCCAGACTCGCTCCAGCTAGCTGTAAGCACTGCTGAAGATAAATGCTACAATTTTCAAAGGAGCTTAAGGGAATAGGTGCCTGATCTCCTTGGATTCCTTAGAAAATCCCATCTGAAAGCTTTTATAGCATTAAAATATGTTCTCCTTTTTTTTTTTTTTTTTTTCCAGAAAAAGAGAAGGCTTTGTTTACTGAAAATAAACTTCAAAAGATCGTAGTGTTTTACATTTTTATCTTGTTCTTAACAGTCATGCATTGTGCAGCTCTTTATTAAGTATAACTATTGACTTTAAGAAGCATTTGTGGAGGCACAGGGTGAATAGATTGAGCAGATAATCCTATTATATTCAATCAGATTGCAGGAGTTACTGTAATTTTGTCCTCCATGAGGGAAGGTGTAAGTCTTTTGTATACATGCATGTATATCTTAGTGTAAAGCAACATGCAGTAATTAGATAAAGTCAACAATAATAAAAAAAAAAATGGAGCTTTTTACTAATCATTTCTTGAGCTATCTCCAAGGCTTTTGGTGTTTTGGCAATCACTTGTGAGGAAATTGAAAAGATTTGAATCTTTAAAACTTTGAAAAACGCAGACCTATGTACTATCAAAAGTAAATAAAACAATAAATAAATACAAAACTTACAATTCTAAGGAAATTATTATGCAGATCTATCATTCTTGCCACAGGGTAACTAATTATAATGTGATAAAGCTTAATTCATACTAGATCTTTTATACTTACTCTGTGCTTCCTGGGATCAAGGAATTCTTGCAGCAATGAATATTTCTGGCCTTGACTTATTTTTTTTCAAGGATGCCTTGTTTTTAGTCTGCTGTATAGACTCAGTTCACTATTGTATGCTTATTTGTACGTTTTACTAGTACGTTTTATATTTTTTATATAAGAGCCAAAAATTACTGCAGCAAACCCCAGAAGTGTCTGAGGAAAATGAGAGAGCGTGCTTAAATTACTGATGTTGAATGTTACCTCGTTTTCAGATTAGTTCTGTTGAATAAATCTCAACAGGAAGGGAAAAGATACTAAGCGTTCTGAAGTCAGGATCTTATCTGTAATGATAAATTATAGACTAGTAACCATTTGCTTTTTTTTTTTTTTCATGACTAACACATCAGGAAAAAAAACTAAAGTGTGAAAAATAAGAAATATCGTATGTCTATGAAAATTCTATCATAACTTTCAAATTCATCAACTATTCTCCCATTTTCTTCCCTATATCCAGTGATTTAATTTGGATCCAGCAGAGCATGATGGATTTTGCTACTGGCACCTTGGATGCAGTGTAAATTATTTAGAGACAAATCTTGAATTCTCCTGTAGATTAAGATGAGACACAGTTTAGGTAAATGACAAAAATCTGTCAAAATGTAATCTGAAAACAACATTTATAAATTGAAGTATATTTTGTAGTGTTTTAATTTGTTTCAGGTTAGTTTCCTTTTATTTGCCCATGGTACATATTTCAGATTTCACCAAATTATTTAGTGTAGCTAGCGATGTACGTTTTATTAATCAGAAGTGAAAACCTGAAAGACAAGAACAATCAAAGAACAGAAAAACATACTTGTTTCAAGTGATAGACCAGAGGAATGATGATTCATAACAGGAACTCTAAGTGTTGATTTTCCAAATCAGATGGGAACAATTGATTATGTTACTGTGCTTTTGAAACAAAAAGATGTAATGAGCATAAGCAAGTGTCTAATTCTTCTTGATGTTGGCTCAGAATAATTTCTCTACTTTAAACTGAAAAAGAGATCATATATCGCACACAGAGTTGTCAAGCCTTTACTGTAGGTGTTTTTGTTATTACTATTACTTTATAGGGAGGCAGTTACAGTGAGTATAAAACCGTTTTTTACATTTCACTGATTACATTTTCAGTAACAGGTCATGACCAAATTAATGACTTCTTTAGCGAGTGTTCATTAAAAATGGTCTTCGTTACTCTCTCTACGGCTTTCCAAGTTTGTGTAAATAATGATTACAGCTCACAACCTGATACTCTGCACACATTGAGTAACACCTTCCCACAGTGATGCAGTGGGATTGCTTATGTTATATAGTGGGAGTTAGAATATACACTATGGGCTCCATATGAGCCTGAAATGCTTCAATGATGTGAAAAATCAGCAAAAAGTACTTACAGTCTTTAAAGTAATTATTCTATCAACGCATCCTCATACTTCTAGAAAATGAATACTTTAGATTACTTGTGACTGTAATGTTGTGTCCAGACCTGTATGTTGAAGGTGTGCTGGCGCTATACCCCACGCTTTTCTTTTCTGCCCACATTTTTTGAACTTACTTTTTGCTTTCTAAATTTATTGCTGTCATGAGATTATGGTTTGTTTGAAGAATTATTATATATATATATATATATATATATATTTTTTTTTTTTTTTTTTTTTGAGGGGGGGGGAAGGTAATATTCTGCTTCTTAACTTCAATGAATGTCTCATATTTCATGACATGGAATATCCTTGCTTTTCACAGTGTTAGAAGAGGCATTAGATCAGACATTTGAGGAGCTTCAAGGGCTTCAAACAGGCTTCTTGAGTTCAAGCAAATCCCCAGTCTGGAGCTCCAGGCATCTGCAGCGGTCCTGCTGCATATTAGCAAGGTATTACTGCAAGTTCATCAAAACTTTTTTTAAAAAAGTGTGTTACAAAATGGTATCTAGATGAGATTATTTAGCATTACAAGTCCTTATGCAGCTTTTAGGAGAATCACTTATTTGCTAAATAGAGTGCAACAGCTCCTTGGGAGCCATTCCAGTCTATCAGGTAAATCTGTAATTAGTATCCAGTTGATCTGAAGCATGGTGCTGTCATTATACTGATACAGACATACACATTAGAAAACATTACTGCCTGGGCACAGTAGGCAATTCAGAGACACTAATAACTCAGGCATTTTATTTTTTTTTTTTAAAGCCTAGTGATTTTTGTTTCAGAGATTTTTGTTTTGATTAAAAAAAAACCCTCATAATTGCTACATCATTTTTAATTTTTAGTTAAGCATAAAACAGATGAGAAATAATTTTTGCTGTGATTTCTACATTTTGAAAATAGTCTGATAGATTTTTTTTTTAAAAGAACCAAGAGGCTGGGCTGTTTGTTTGTTTTTTAAGGAAATAGGTTGTGTGGTTACATTAAAATGCTAGCAGCAGAAAAAAGGAAGACCGACAGTTGCTTTTGTGAAAAAAAGTCTGGATTTAGTGTAGCTGAGTGGAATTCCACTTGATTTTGTTTGAATTTCATAATTTAGTTCTTGATATGGGAGAGGCTCATGCCCTTTTACAGTAAATGGAGGTCCCATATTTTGGCGTAAAGGTTTAAAACATGTGGCAATGACTAAAACAGAAGGAAATAAAATATTGTGTCAACTTGTATTAACTATACTTCCATCATATGCAATAAAATTTAGTAATTAAAATAGAGGTGGATTTGACTGTAAAAATGAAATTCAGGCACAAGAATGCTATGGCATTTCTATAGAAAAGAACAGATGCATGAATTTTGGGGAACCTCCCCAGCCCATTACCGATTTATTATATTTGCAAGTCATTCAATCTTCTTTGGAATAGTTTCATTATTAACTAAGCATCTCTTTTTCTTTTTCATACATTGATTAGAAGTTTGGGATATGAAAAGCAAAGCTCAGAGAACCAATATGTGTTGTCTGATGCTTAGAAAATGGATACTGTCTACAGACTCAAATACAGGAAAATGGGTCTCTTTTGTCAACTTTTCCATGGCCTTGATAAAACACACTGCAAGCATAAGACAGATTTCTTAACGGGCCAACATCAATAATAAACTATTCTCATTTGTGTGTCATGTTTGAAAGGAACAATGTGAACAGAGTTGAATACTACATTGAGCATTTCAATCTGATACATTTTCAAACACAAGTAGAAAAGCTGTGAACCATTACATACATACAAGGTTGATTGATTTTGGTTTATAGTCACAGTTAATGGGAAAATTTGTCTTAAAACTAAGCCAAATCCGGTATGCTAGTATACCCAGTATAAGTAAAGTCAAAAATGTGAGTTCTTATTGAACAAGACATCAAGACCTGTCTTGTGACTAATGCAACAGACTAGAACTGAGAAAAAAAAAAAAAAAAAAAAAAAAGATAAATGCTCATTTTTCATTTTATCTTCAGGATAGAGAATAATAGGGGCAAGAGAATAACTCTAAATGCCAGTTATGAAATATTTTGAAACAAATTGAAACAAATTTGGGTAAGCCAAGCTTTGGTCCTTTCAGTAAAAAAAGAAAATTCAGACTGAAGCAATAGAGGATGTCTTCTACATTTACCCTCTGGCTTTTTCACCAGTCCTTTATATGGCTGGGGGAAAATTGTATAACCTCATTTTGTTGTTTACTAGCTAATCCTTTGGATTAATTCTTCACCCACATCTTTTCCAGGTGGGTGTTTGTTCAGAAACTTTAATTTCCATCATAGACTTAACTTTGGCCTAAAGGAAACTTGGACAGTTTACTAAACTCTGTTCTGCACAAATATCCAGTGTAATGACAGTGAGCAAATGATGGAGGAGACCAGAAACTGGTGATCAGAATATTCAAAACATTCACAGAGAATAAAAATTACATTTGATGTTGTAAATACGTTGCCTGGTAACACTGGAATTAAGACCTTATCCAATAGTTTAGTAGCACGTTTAAGATAGGAACTTCTTATTATTTGAATGTCACAGACTCTATTGACAGGCTGTCTGTTGAACAGTGCCTGTTTTAATTTTAGAATACTGCAAATGATAAAAATAACATTCCAAATCTAGTAAGGACTTAAAATTCATATCAGTGATATTAACAATTTAGTAAACAAGCCTAGGCTACAGTACCATCCTTTAAGAAGCACAGACTGATGATCTAATTCACAAAACTGTTTTGCCACTATAAAAAATAAAAAGTATGACAATCAACAAGTGTAGTAAAAGCCAAAAAAATATTTTGTATATATATATAATTTGATGTAGATAACGATGCTTTTACTCAGTTTAAGGAAGGACATATCCTGAATTAATCTGGGACTGTTTGTTGTGATGCATACAAAAAGTATGTATTGGAAAATGGTTAGTTTAGTGAGAGGCTGATTTGTAATTATTGCTCCAACTGCACTAAGATTTCCAAGCGTTCTGTTGTTTCTCATAACCTGCCTCCTTCTGCCTGCCTCCAGATAGAATGATGGAATCATAGAATGGCTTAGGTTAGAAGGGACCTTAAAGGCCATCCAGTTTCAATCCCCCTGCCATGTGGAGGGATACCACTCATTAGATCAGGGTGCCCAGGGCCCCATCCAACCTGGCCTTAAACACTTCCAGGGATAGGGAATCCACAATCCCTCTGGACAGCCTGTTCCAGTGCCTCACCAACCTCTGTGTGAAGAATTTTTTTCCTAACATATATTTAAATTTCATCTTGTTTAGTTTTAAACCATTCCCCCTTGTTCTATCAAAAGGTCAGGTCATCCACCTCATATTCTTACACCAGAAAGCAAACTGAAGATGAGTTTGCATGTTCATGTGGTGATACTTTTTCTAGAATTTAAGGTAATTTTATTGATTTAATTGTGTTGATATTATCTAAGTGATGTATTTTTTGCTATCTTCTAAAAAACGTCCAAGACTTTTTTTCACAGGCACAATAACAGAAGCATATATCAGCATATCATTAAGCTGTTAACTAAAATAGTATATTTTATAGCTTAGCTCAGGTCATCCGAGTAACATGAGAGTGTATAAGGGCCAGGAAAGTAGAAAAGCTCTACAGAATGCCCAGGGAAATGGAATAGTGCAACATGAACTCACTGAAGCTGAATTACAGTTGATTCAAGAAAGCTCCAGATGTCAGAAAAACATGTAAGTATCACCCTTCATATATATATTCATTTCTCAAAGATGTCTCATATGTTGTAGTTTAATTTTTTTGCATTTGCCATCACTCATTTTGTTGACTTCATTGTTCATTGTGTGAAAAAAGTTTTGTACTTTTATTTTTTCTCATGAAGTAGAGATTTTTAAGATAACTGTCACTGTACTGCTTCAGCAATAAGTAAAGCCTCGAGTCAGGATAAAAAGGAAGTATTACCACATGATTTCAGCTGTCTATTATATTAAAAGGATATATGTGTTTTTCCGTTTCACTTTTAACACTTGCATATTTGAGGACTAGGCAAGAGATCTAAGTGTAATATAACGAATCTGTTAATCAGAAAGCAAATTTGCTCATATTAAAATTTCTCCAAGATACAGAGCAATTTTGAAATACTGTGATTTTCTTTTAGCTAATTTTTCACATCACTGTTTTTGCTTTTCTTTTCCTTCTGCCTAGCTATTGTTCAGGGGGGAGTTGGTCAATTTTCTGTTGAAGGAGAAACTAATGACATCAAGTCAGTGAATTTTCTCAGTTTAAACTGTTTCAGTTTTTACAGGGCACAAGCAGAAGTACTTATAAATAGCCTGCAGTCAATCTTGTTTTTAAATATACCATCCCAGACATCAGCACTACGTTTCTAGAAGGCACTGTGCTGTAAGAGCCCACTGGAGTTAGAGAGCATACTGTTAACTTACCTATTGCAAGGGCATCAAAATTGTCAATACATCTTTCTTCATAGCTAGGCTACAGCTTTATCAGATGATAGCAAACACCTTTTCTCAGTGCTGTACATTCACCTAGATGAAGAATAATGGTCCAGATCAGATGTACAAATCAGCTAGAATATGTGGTATGAACTTTACACTTGCTTTATTTCACCCTTAGGACAGATGATACTCGCCTGTTAGTGTTCCACAAGATAACGTATTATTTGAGTTGAAGGGTTATGTTTTGATTATATAAATGGTTGATGCCGTGATTGCACTGTGAAAGCCCCAGCAGCTGGGTAAAATATGCCCCGGAGTAAGCGGGTCACCTTGCCCTTATACCTGTGTCTTTTGGAAAAGCATATATGTTCTGTCAGGAGAACTTTTGTAGCCTGCAATTCTGGAAGTTGCTTTTCCTCCTCCATCAGAATTACTGTTTTCTGAAGTGAAGACTATGGTGGTTTGGACTCTCTCTTGGGGAAGGCTAGAGGAGTGTCTGGATAAGACCAAAATGATGGTAGTCTTCAGCAAAGACTGGCCATATGGGAGTAACAGAGGTGCAATCACAGAGCTAGATGATGTGAGTCAGGCAGTGATGGATATCATTAGGGTAATCAGCAAGGACTTTCAGGCTCATGGGAATTGCTTGTGAATGTATGCTGGAGAACAGAACATTGAACAATTAGTGTTTGAGGCTGAAGGCACTACAAAACTCCAGATTAACTGATCAGGCTATGTTCATGTAATTGTTTTGTGTGTTGTTTTCTAAAGGTACAGATGATTCCAAGCTACAAAGACTCCTGAGACTTTGCAAGCGAGAAAAGCTATTTAGTAAGCTAATGAGAGGTTAGATTTTCATTTCCCAGAGCTAGATATGGGAGTATAGTTCTGATCAGGTCTTATTTATTTTGGAAAAGATCCTTTGAGGCAGTTTGAACCTTGTTGTTATCATTTGCGTGTGATTTTTATTGAATAATTATTCTTTCATAAAATCTTTATTTTTTCTGCTTAATTAGTACAGAAATTCTGTTCAAGTTTGTATTATGTGGATCTAATTCAAGATTATAGGTTGTGGTAGAATTATAACAGGGATATACTTGTGCCACTATGACCAATGTTTCTGTCTCTCTTTCTAGTTCTCATGCTAGGAACCCTGAATCTATAATTAAATGTTATTTATCTAGCCCTTTCCTTTGAGAGCTGTTTCAGAGAACAAATATGTGAACAGACTGGTAAAAGGAATTTTCAATCTTTACTTTCAATTGATCAGACTTGAAATTGTTGCAACTTTTCATTTAGTCTTTTTCTCATTTCTTTACAATCAATCTGTACTCAAAGAACAGTTTATAAACTGAATACAAAGTAGCGACGTCCTATCAGCTCTGAACCAGAATTGTATTTGGTGAGCCTCACAAACACTTTCATGTGCAACATCGAAGCTTTATAGAATGCCTTCTTTGAAAATAGATCAGATACCTTGCTGATAGATTCCTTTAAAATAAGTCAGACAAATGGAGAGGATAGATAGCTAACATACCCATCTTAGAGAGAGAGATATTTTCTTTTATTAACTACATTTTGCCTAAAAATATATAGTTCTTCAAATGTATTACATTTGTTAGATTTAGACTGATTACTTTTAGAAGTTAAAGCAGGATGCATGGGATATATATGCATCCTAGAAGGGAAAACATGATTATTTGATTTTTGAGATAGTTGTGGAATACTACTGTTACTGTTACTCTAAACCAATAGAAACTCCTCTTGTTTGAGGCCTTTCCCCAAAAGACCAACTAGCTGCAGAATTGGCAAGAATTCCTTGTGGCCTGCAGATACTTAGAAAAAATGTAGAAGTTAAATACCTGGCTTCCTCTAAATACATCCAAATAATAAGAAACTAAGAACAACATGTAACTTTCACTCTCCTCTGGATTACTGTACAATATTGTACAGTATATACAATATGTCCCTATATTACAATATAGGGACTTACTAGAGCCTGTTTGGCTGAGAACCATGAAGATAGCAAAGAAGCTGGAGCACTGTGGAGCAGGAGAGATGGAGACCTACATTTCTCCAGTCTTAGAAGTCCAGTGCTGGGAGGATCTAATTGCTGACTTCAGTTACCTAATGGGAGGGTATAGAGTAGGCAGAGCCAATCTTCTCAGAGATGTCTAGCAAAGGGATTAGGGCCAAAAGACACAAGATGCAAAAGACAAAAGGAAGGACAATTCCAACTGGATATACTAAAAAAGATTTTTCATGGTGAGGACAGTTGAACACTGGCACAGGTTGATCCAAGATATTGTGAAATGTCCATCTATTGAGATAATCAAACCAGATCCTGAACAATTTGATCCAACTCTAAAGTTGACCTTGCTGTGAGCAGGGGTTGGACAGGATAAAGTCCAGAGATTCCTTCCAGTCTAAATTATTTTATTGGTTTCATTTGTGGGTTTCTTAGTACATAGATAGGGGATGTAAGACAGAGCTTTGGAGGCTACCCAAGTGAAAAGGACAAAATATACTAAGAGAAAACAGAATGCCAAAACAAAAGAAAGAAATCTGTGTACCCTTCGGAAAAAAAATCACACACAGTAATTCTGTCTTGAGTTGTGAGTTATTGTTTTCAGATAATAAATGTTCTTTAATAGCTTCATACAAAGCAGGACAGCTGAAAGTATATTAATTTTGCCTCGATATGAGATACCAACTGTTCTGAAAGTTGTAATGTTTCTTAAATATTACAGCATGAAAAAAAAAACAAGCTAACAAACAAAAACCCCTTGTGTTTCTCAAAACAAATTAACATTTTCAAATGCCTTACAGTAGTGATTCCTATAGAGGCATGGATAATGACAAGATGTTGGCAAAAATTTTGTCTCTAGCTGTTTTTGTAACTGCATAAGCTGTTTCATGAAGAAATCCTGCGGATTCATGAAAACATTTAAAACAGGGAGGGTATTGTACAGCTACACAGGTTGCTAGGGCTATTTGTGACAAGAAGAGGATGCAAGAACTCCCCAAAGACACAGGAGATCTCAGGCACCATGAGGAGCGGGGAGTGCAGAATATAACAGCAGGTATCAGAGAATGGTCTATAGGCTGGAGGGAAAAGCACTTCTAGACATTGGAATTTTTATGGATTTGTTTCATGGCTTCCTCATGTACCAGTGTATTGGGACACGAACATTGAAATTATGTAGTTTCAGGTTTTTTAATGCTATTATTTTTGAGTAAGCTGTTCACAAACAGTTGTAGAAATTGAAAGATTTATAACCATATGTCATCTAGCTAGATGTAATGCACCAACATGATGTTGAACCTCCTTTGCCCACCTTATTCCTGCTATCTCAGGTTACACGCCCAGAAGTTAATGTAATCCAGATAACAGAAGCCTAATTACTCAGTATATCCCTACTTTTAGCATACTATTTACATGGTAAGTGCATATCCTGAATATGTATGTTTTGCAATATTCTGCCCATAAAATTGTTCCTGCTTATAACAATAGAAGGCTCCAAAACTTTTTCAGGAAAACAAAAACAAAAACATTTTCATCTGCCTTGTGTTCACTTGTTGGAGACTTATGTAAATACTGCGAATGATGTGCATTTGGAAGGCTTTGTTGTCCGAGTTTTTACTGAAGTTCTGTAACGTGAAACTGCCAGGTTACATAGCTTTATGTGATAAATATAATTTAAATGTAAGGATGAAAATGTTATGTTGTTTTTGTTTTATATCTGGTGAGTATGCATTCCAAGTATAAATATCGAAAGGAGGACTTCCAACTAGTCTTATATTAAAGGTAGCAAATAAAAAAGCTACTCAAACCAGTAGAATGATTTATTAATTCTAACAGAGTTAAAAATGAAATAGTCTGTAGTAATGACTTGTATTGGAATTTGGAATTAAATATTGAAACTTACTTTTTTTAATGGTGAATTATAAAAAGTAAGATGTAAATAGGTGATCTGAATTTTCTGTCTTTGTTTCTCAATGCACAGAAAGAAGGTGAAATAGTTTTTTCAAGGAATGTTATAAGCAAACGCACCATAGGAGGAAAAAAAGAATCAGATAAAAAATGTATCAAATTTTCTTCTCTAGAGTAAAACTCTTTGAAGTATCCTTCAAATACTTGTCCAATTTTATTGCTCCCCCTGTTGCTGCCTATGGCTTCTTCAATATATTCATATTTTTATGCAGATTTTGTTTCACTGCTAATCTATGAAAGCTGGGGGGGGACAGAGGTGATAGGAATAATGGTGTAAGTTGCA